CCAGGGGCTTCTCGTGGACACAAACACTAAACTGCTGACACTTTTCCAAATAGATTTTGAGTGCTTCAGGATTGGAGCAGAGTTCAGCTACATAATCTACTTTTTGATAACCATATCTAGTAAGGTTTCTCTGCCAGGATTATACTTACTAACAGGCTGGTGGCCAAGGTCAACACATGGTGAACCTTTTCTTTTTTTTTACCATAAATAGAGATTCAATTGAAGGTCTACGCTGAGGAAGCCCAGCCTCCTCCCTTTGTAGTGATGCGTCCTTATCAGGGCATCACAGAAAATTATGGTGTAGACAACTCTGAAAAAAAAGGTGCTAAGAAAAATTAATCTTGAAATCTCACATTAGTTATCACCTTACCGAAGGGCTAGCATGTTCCAGAGCTAGAGAAACACTCTGGTGGTGAGATAAGAAGCAAAGCCCGATTGTCACTGCTGATCTTGGTCCTCTGGGGCTTGGAGGGACAAACTCCACAACCATGTTATACAGAATCATTCCCTGCTTCCACTGTTTAAGACAAGGATCTTCAATTTAATTTTTAATTTTAGGGACGGGCTTCAGCCTTTAATATTTTCCTTTTTTGCATAGATTTTAGGTGCACATTGTTCCTAACATCTAATCCTGTGTGCTTCTCACTTTTAACTTTCTGTTATGTCTTGGTTTCATCAAGTAATTTTAGAAATTCTCCTTGTTAAAAAGCACTGAGGGACTGCACAAAGGTTTTCTTTGTCTTAAGTAGTCAAGAAACAAACCTCAAAAAACATGCACTTCAGCAAAATGTATTTGGACAGTACTGCCTGAGTTCTTCATTCCACATCAATGCCAGGGTGACTGATATTTGACCATGATTTTTGCATGGTATGGGCAAATGGACATATTTGTTGTCTATGATTTTATTGTTGGTAGTCCTTTGATATGGTGCACAAAAGTGGTGCACTGGGAGAAAAGCTTTGGAGTCAGATAAATTATATCATTGTTTGTGAGCACTGTGCTGGGGAAAAAATTATGCTTGTTACCAAAAGCTTCCTTTGCTGCTAGCCCTTCTCTTGGACATCCTAATTCATTGAAAAAGCATCCATAACCATTCTTCACATAATTCTCTCCTATAAGCACTTTCAATAGAGTTTGTGTCTACTTTATTGATCTGAAAAGCCTTTAAATATTTGACCTAGTAAGAAGAAAACACTATGCTGTGATTGACATTCTGTCTCAAAAATTTGTCTGGGAGGTTTTTCAGAAACACACACACACATGCCCGTATATACGGAGACTACATTAATCAACTTGAATATCAATGTTATACCGAAAAAATTGTAAAAAAAGCTTTATGTTTTTTTCTGAAAGTGTACAAATGGTGACAGAATGTGATTAATAAGGACTTAAAAGACCTGAAACTTTCAGGAGAAGTTTGTGTTTTTTTAATTACGTCAAATGTATTGTGAAAAATATCTTTTGCATTAGATTTTATTTTTTTGTAATATGTGACTAATTTGGGTAATATATGAAGAATATTTTTTTATATGGGAAGCAATTCAAAAGGTTGTGAAAAATGAAACTGCCTTTTGAAAGGACTAAACCAGAATATTTCAACCTCCTGACATATTTTTTCTTGAAACTAAATTTTTAAAGAAATACACTTGCCTTACTCAAAATATTTTATGCTGATTAAATAGAATGTTTCAATAGAAAATAAGCAAACAAGAATTATTCTAGAAACTACATTTCCAAATCTAGTCACAGTACATTTGCATGTGGCCTTTTCCTAACTGAGATGGATGGGGTCAAGTCCCTATGTGATTCATTCAGGTTGAGCTTTATATCCACTATCCTTCAGTGCCCTCAGACAGTACAGTTTGATATCAGTTCAAGGGAATTGCATTTCAATCACTAGAAGGTTCATAGAAAGTGATCAGAGAAAAGGCATAAACACAACAACCCATTTCTAAAACTGAAGTGAATATTCATCTTCTTTTTTGCAATACTCATTCAACTTCATAAAATATTCACTGTTCATAAATAAATCAGTGCACCTTAGAGCTACAAATACATTAACTAAGTTTTGTTTTCTGTCACGGGGGCTAATTTTAGAGCTGTATGAAAACGATTAAAATGTTTTCACAAAAAATTTGGCTTGTAGATTTCAATTTTGTTACTGGCAATGCCTCATCTGCAGAACACTTTTTTCTGCTCACTCTGTTTATTGGTTCACAAATTTTTTTTGCATTATTAAATGGAAGCAAGCAAGGTAGCTCTGTTATTGCCTTCCCGCTGAGTACCTAAAGAGAGAAAAACAAAACTGGAAATAACTGGGTTAGGTTTCTAAGACTGCCCTCCTCCTCCCTGCTCAAGTTGCTCCTCACCAACCCAGTGAATGAGACTGCGAAATCCTGTCCCAGGTGTCAACACAAAGTGCTTGTCCACAGGTTCCCATATGGCAATAAGACACCACTGGCATCACGATTTTAATCATTATTACTCAATGAAAATATTTTGCTTAAGGCAAGCCACCAAAATCATAACAAGAAAATGTAGAAAAAACACTATGATTTTCAGTGGGAGGCTAAGTTTAGAGCTTTGTGAAAATGAGCATGCTGAAGGAAACCAGAAAAATTCCCAGGATTTTGGTCAAAAAAAAGATTCATCTCCATCCAACATTAGCAGCAGGACTGATGGAAAAAAGAAGATACGACACTTCTTGCTGCACACATGGCACTACACTAAACTTTGTGTTAGAACTGCTCTGCCATTGGATTCTTAGAGGGTACTGAAGTATGTCTGATCCTGACAGGCTATGGAATCCTGAAGTCCTACGAGTCAGTATGATGACTCATTAAATGTGCTACCAAAAATTGTTAAATTCACACAGGAATCTTCTTTTTCAGAACTTCTAACTTGCTCCTCCACCGTCACACGTCTCACTGCTCACAGATGAAGTGTTACACTATCAAACTTGCAGGCTTACAGAGTCAGTCCCTGTACTGAAAATGCCAGAAGGAAAACATATTCTGTACCCAATAAATCATATACCTTAGCATTGGCCAAAATAGTCTCTTCAATTTTGTCATTCCCAGTCTGAAACAAGTATGGCTATTTCTCTCTGTTCGTATATTACTTCTCTTATCATCAGAACTATGATGTACAAAGCAATATACATCAAATGTATAGCTAGCACCCTCAATTTCTACATAAGTGAATAAATTATGGAATGGAAAGTCTACTCTGAAGCCCATGCAACAAGCTGCCACCCAAATCAGTGAAAAGAAAGAAGAAAAAAAATAATATAAACCCATTTATAATACTTCAACAAAATATTCTATAGAACTGGAAAATATGAGATAAACGTCTCCCAACCACTTTAATGGGTTAACTGGCTCTGTTGAGGGCAAGGGAACCCGGCAGATTTTCATCAGCTGAGAGTCTATGCCAAAGATTTCTGATTTTTTAAATTCTGGCATGAACCTGTTTTCCTTTGGTATTTGTCTATTCCTGGCATATGTCCCCCATTCCTTTTATGAACAATAAATCAAAGAAAACATTTAATTCTTCTGAAGTGTCTACCTCTCAATAAATTATCCTTCTATTCTGTTTGAGGCACTGATGCCTCCTTCGGTGACCTCCCATTCCTAGATACTTGAAAAATGCCTTGATAAATTTCTAAATTTTTCTGTGATTCTCATTTCATGTTTTCACCTTTGCTTTCATCATAATTTTTTGTGAAATTCATTTTCGAATACTCCCAGATCTCTCTCATACCTGGGTGTTTTGTACCTCACATATGCCTGTGTCTCAACCCTTAATTACTTTTTCACATCTTTATTTACCCACACTGATTTTTTTACTTTCTAGTGTATATATTGCTGGATAAGACATGTAACCCTTGGCCACACATTAATTTATCATTGCACATTTTCCATTTCCCTTCTGTGGCCTTTGTACAAAATTCAATTACTTTATTCCATTGGATTTCAACCAAATCTTACCATATGTTTTCAAATTTCTTCCTCTGAATTTCAGCAACTTATCACCAACCATTTAGCTCTGACTTTATTATTAATGATAAAATCTGGGTTCCAAATATGTAGCCAGTTACACATACTCAGATGCACACAAGTTTTCTTTCCAAAGGTCCATACTGTGCAGCAGGCTGGGAGCCCTGTCAGTGGAGCTCTACACCTACTCAGACTCACACACAGTTGGAGAACCGAGGGCCTACTGAATTCTGGATTTTTGCCAAGCTTTCACTGGGCATATTCTGGAATTTGATCAACACATAGGACTTATTCATAAGTGAAGAGTATGTTTAATTAATTTCACTTCCTATTCTGTTCAAGAAAATAGTATTTTTTATTAGTTACCTCCTTTTACATCTATGAAATACATGCACTGTCCCCTCAAACATAGCCAAACATTTTATATTTTTGGATTTCTGTTTAAGTTGTGGAGTCAAACAGTGAGCAGTCATGAGCCTGCTGGCACCATTTCTGTGTTGCTGTTGGATGGCTGTGGCCCTTGTGATTGGGCTTCCTAGTATAAGCACGCCGCAGCAGCTGCTTTTAAAGGTTTTTTTCAATAAGCAGTGGTGCCAGTAAGACTAAACCAGACTTGCAGAGTTCAAGCTCAAAGAGGATACAATCACAGACAAATATATGGACTATGAAAATGTAAATCAATAATCACCGAAAATTATTTGTAGTGAAGTTTTACGGCATTATCCAGAGCAATCAAGGAATTGACCACTTATGACAGCACTTCCACAAACAGATTTTTTAGGCCAATTGAAAATGAATCCTTTTCAAATTCCTGGCCAAACTGAAAAATAAATACATATTGTTTCTATTTGGTCTATACACCTTTGTCCAGCTCTAAGTTCAAAGTCTATGAAAGACAAGTACTGCCATTTCCTGGGATAGAAAGATCATGAGTAACAGCTATCTGTTGAGTATTAATGCTGAAACAAGGGAGTTGGCTTGGGATCTGAAGCTCCCCTTACCTGGCAGAAAACTTTCTTTTTGGGATAGATTTTGTGGTTTCTTGTGATTGCCTGCAGGTGAGAAAGATCAACTAAGTACAGCTAAATAATTCAGAAAATCAGCCTTAAGATGATTCAGATAGGGCATTCAGAAAGCAAGGTACAAGGGTTCAGAATTCATTTTGCATAACTTGCTGAGCTGATAGCTATTCCCAGTCACAGAACTCATTATGCTAAGCTTTGGTAGGTTTCATCTTTGCCATCTTTTTTTCCCACAGTCTTAATTTCTCAGCTCTCTCAACCTGTTGCTTCGTCACAAAGACTCTAAGGTCTCTGGCATGTTGCTGCAACCTCTGATACAACAGGAAGTCCTCGGTAAGCAGAGCTCCACAGGGTACTTTCATGCAGAGAAGTAACACTGGGTTAAATTATATGTGTAAAAGCTAGCAGAACTCTGGAAGAATTCAGCAGCGGTAGGGCTTGTGCAGAGGCAGAGGAAGTTGCACCACCCATGTAAGATGTGACACTTCCAGAGGCTTTGGCAGGACTCCGCTCTGCGTATCTGCTACACAGATGCAAATGCACAGCACATGCTTCTCTGTAGAACTGTTAGCCACTGCTGCTGCAGTGCACGAAGAGGGTTATTAGGCAGAAAGGATCACTTCACAAGACTTACTCATCAGTTGCGAGGAAAAGCCGTCTCATTGTGTGGACTCACTCTTGTCTGTACACCTATGTTCAGGATATTTAATGTGCTGAGAAGCAGACACTGTCTGAAACACCCACCATACGCAGATCCTGAAACAGAGTTTCAAGTAAGATCTTATTTGTGCATTTCAGTGCTTGTTAATCATATTCATTCACATTCCTAGCAGGCATATGGGGAGAGTCTATACAGAAGCCAGCCAAGAGGAAGAAGCAACTAAAATAAACAGATGGGTGGACAGGGAGGAAATAATATTAAGTAGTTAAACACATAATATAGTGTCTGGAGAGAAAAATAAAAGGGCTAAGAAAAAAAATATCAGGGAAGAACACTTCTCTCCTTCCTTACAACACACGCAGAGCAAGTGATAAAGGCTTTTGGGGAAAAATGCTGTGTCTGTAAACAAATAAAGAGATTTTAAAGATTAATATAGATACCTAGCAGCACATGTAGAGCAGGCAATCTCCATTTTGTGTTACACTGGAATAAATAAAAATAACTATATTGTCCTCTAGTGAGGTTCTTCTAGATTTACACTAACATAATTGAAAGCAGAAACTGGCCCAGAAAGAGGATTATTGAATTTAACCAAAACATTATGATGAAGTGAAAAATCAACAGAGGCTAAAATAGTGATGGATATAAACTCCAGCTGGTCAGATAATGAAAGGCAGATTCATGAAGATGTGACTCAAATCTGATTTCTTTGCTACCAGTGAATTCATTCTCTTCATAACTCTCCTAGTATCTTATTTAACAGTTTAGTCATGTAGTCATGGCAAAGAAACAATACCATGTGAAAACAGTCAACATAGTAAACAATTCACAAAATGATCTATCTGAACTACACAGGAAAAAAATGAAGTATTGGTTATTGGTATTCACTCAAGTGCAGGGAAGGCAACTCACAAGGAGAGAAATTCTTTGCGTCTCTGATTCCTCTATTGCTTCACACCCAGCTCTGGTGTGATCATGCCCTCATTAGGTGCAGGGCCTCACCAGGAGAAGGTGAACAAGACAGATCTTTAACTCAAGGATTTAAATTCTGGTTAATGAAGAGCACATAGGAAAAAAATTTCCATTGTGGGTATATTGGGGACTCCTTAATGTCTCTGAGATGACTCGTAGTGATGGTGGCAAGAAAGAAGGGATGAAAGTTGGATCAACTCCAAGTTCAGCAGAACTCTATTCCTAGCTTACTAGTACAAAGCTAGCAACAACACTCATCACAGAATAATGAAGAATGTTGAAGCACTGGTAGCCACAAGACAGAAGCATAAAAAATCCAGTGTTTGGATTGGATCCAACCTGCCTGGAATAATTTGAATTTACAGAATTTCACATTACATTTTATATGCATGTCTTTAGCCTGTGTAGCTATGTAGTAAAAGGAGATGTTGCCTTCGCAGAAAACAGTAAGCACTGCCTTCCTGTCTGTCAGAAAGAGAGAAAAAAACTAAGAGGGACATGAAGAAAAACTGAAAAGAGCAAAAGAGGAATGTCTTGGAAAATAGTGATAGAGTTACCATTCAATTAGAGTCTCCTGCACAATGGCAGCTTCATGGTTGTGCCCAAGAAAGCAGACTGCCTTTTTTTGGAAAGATGGTGACATTTGCTGCTTAGATGCAATAGAGGAAAGAACAACGATGCAGCTCTGCTCTCTACATTTCCCAAGTGGAGCAGATATTCCAGGCTCTTAACCTATTAGAAGGGTTCAGTGAGTGCATGGTACTTCCCTTTTCATTCCTGTTGCCTTCTCTCCTGTCCTCAAAGGAGAAGAAAACTATTTTGGACCAAGTTAGTTTTAAATATGTGTAAATCCCAGTGATTCAGTGAATCAAATGTTCATCTTTTAGGATCTGGAGTAGACAGAGGAAATATCATAACTTATATGAGCAGACAAAAATTCTACTTTCCTAGATTAGCTAGGGACAATCTACCAATGTATTTTCTCTGTGATATGTTCTCCTTCATGCAAAGAAATATGGGTATTCTATGCATTCACTCAAAAGTTGCTATGTAGACCACACAGCTGTAGGTACTGTGAATTCAACAATTAACTGGTTTGTTCTTTTGTTTTGTTTTGTTGTTATTTTTGTTGTTGGTTTTTTGTTTGTTTGTTTTATGGGGTGTTTTTGTTTTGGTTTGGTTTTTTGTTTTGTTTTGTATTGTTTTGGTTTTTTCCTCTTTTTAAATGTGAAAATAAATATAGAGCAAGGGGAGGAGATGGGAGACTTACTGTGTTTCAGGGTGCAAAAAAATCTGAGGAGAATCAGCTTTTTGGAGAGACAATGATTTTATTTTGCTCTAGTGCTTGAGGGGACTGGAGAGGGAATTCTGTAAAAGAAAAAAGAAGTCTGCTCTGAGGCTGCTTGCCTGGGAATTACTTTGGGTTGCTGCTGGGAGCGAGGAAGAGATATCCAGAGGAGGAGAAAATGGTAATAATAAACCGCAGGTTCTTGTGAAGATGGGAAATGGAGTGCAAGGAAGCACAAAGTGTGCTGTACTCCTCAGGCTGGGCTTCACTGGTGTCATGCTAGCTCAATGACTTCCTAAAGCAATGAGCTGAGTTTTCACAGAGACTTGGGAAACATGTTTCTGTCTTAGGAGATAGGTGTACTACGGAGTTACACTGCACCACTACCTGTTACTATTTCTAGATTTCTGAAGCCAGAAAAAAAAAATTAATACTGCAAGCTGTTAGAAAATAATTTTAAATGATGGTATGCTGGTTTTATTCTAAGTTCTCTAAGTCTCAGGATTTAAAACATATACCACCAGTAGTTTACACCTTTTCACTGAGAGCAGCAGCTTTTTGTTTGGCTTTTTTTGCATTCAGATTAGCTTAACATCTCTGTTGCAAAAAACCAGCCTTTTGTAGACTTACAGGCTTACAGCCTTACAGAGGCAAACTATGGCATTTTCCACAAGCCATCTAGGACAGTACTTGTGGTTTTAAAAGATCTACCCAGAATTTCATGTTGTCTGCATTATCACTCAGAATAAGCACAAGCTCACTAAATTCAGGGTTAGATTTAGAAATGAGCACTTCTTATCATTCTTTATAGATTGTTTTCTCCATTGAATGCACACACCTGAAATTTCCCAGACCATAGGTTCTCCCAGGAATTGAATACCATGCTGTGCTCCCCATTTTTTGATGAGATATTGCCATATTCTATTCAAAAGGCTCAAATGAATTTATTGTTTTGGAGGAAATGACTCTTCACTCCAAAGTGAGTAGAATGTACGAGAAATTGGGCTCTAGTTTCAACAAGTTTTACTAGCAGATCTGAAGAGTTTCCTTTCTATTTTTCATAAATAATGACGTTTTCCACTACTAGGAAGATTCCCTTGTTCTGTGTTTGTGTTTAACTGCCACTTGTAAGAATTATGCAGACACATCAGTACGAAAATTGCAGTTCTTCAATTGTGTTCAAAAAGCATGGGGATAGCTTTTCGTCATTATTATTGGTCTAAAAAGCATTAGTATTGACTTACAGATGGTCACCTATGCTGGAAGCTTATGAAAGAATCTCAAATTGTGGAAAGATTATTCTAAATTTAGGGAAACATCAACTCCCTAATGCTAAAGGTGGAGTCATGCTGCTAAACATATTAGTATTTCTTAATTCAAACACCTGTTCTGCCTGAAAGATACATAAAAAAGCTCTTATTTATTGCTTGCATCTCCATTTCAGATTTAATCTCACTATAAATTCATCTCATGTTAATTTATGTGCAAACAAAGACACACACATTTTAAATATCCGAAATGCTGGAAATAAACTTATTTTTAATTTTGTGCTTGTTTTCCATTTGTCAACCAGCAAATGAAAGGACTGAATAAATCATGCACTAATTGCCAGCGGTGCTAAATTTAGTGTGAGATCTGGAATCCTTTTGATCAAAACCGCTGAATATGAAATCGTCCTCAGCTCTCTAGGCAACTTTATCCGCCTTTCTATTCTCCATCTGTCAGTCACCTGGGAATTTGTGAACTATTCCATATGTCAGGCTTGTCAATCACAATGGAATGTGGGAACTATCTGCCTACTGCATAGGAATTCTTGTTAAAAATTAATCTGCATTAAACTAGATGTTCTATATTTTGAATACCTTATTGTTTAGTGTTGCTAAACATTTTTACCTATATAAGGCTAATGAGAAATTATATTTGACATGATTATTTGGATATGTTTTTGCAAGATTTTTTAAAATACACACAGAATTTTTTTTTCACTAGTTCTGCAACACTTGGGAAATGTTGGTTTTTTCACCTATTTCACTTGATATGAGTTTTCTCAATCAGTTCCTCAGTGTCTGGAATTTTAGATTCTTTTTCTTGGCCCAAAGGTGATTTTTGTTTCTAAAGAGGGGCAAGGAAGTTTGTTGCAGCCACCTTTGGCTGGATAAATATAGGGAGAGAAAAATATATTCTCTCCAATCTCCTCTAAGTTGTTCTCTAGTACTTGTTGAACAATTGAACCCAGAAACTTTAAATGTATAAGCTACATAAGCAAAAACAAAATAAGGATACGGACAGTTGATTCATAATATCTTGGTTTTTTTAGTTGTTTCTAAATGATGAGATAGCTTCTGTTTTGATTTAAAGAAATTTTATTTTAAAATTCTGTTTGCTTTCCCTGTATTTTCATAGAGAATGATTTAAATATACCTCTGTTACAATGGGGTGAGCTACAAATATATCTATTGAATCTTCTGCTATTGATAAATAATTTTGGATCACTTTTTCAATTAAAGTTGAAATCACATAATTTTAAGTGGAATTAGCTCTAGTCAATTACAAATTTCTAAAGAAAGTTAAAAGAAAAGAGCAACATTATATAGCCTTTCCAATAAATATTCCAAAAATTTGCAATCATGTTTATGCTGTTGCATTACATGCAATTTGGTTTGGTGGGTAAGGCACACCTTGCTGGACAGCTCTTATGGTGGCTCCTTTTCTTATTCCTGCCCTTTCCCCTCTTTGCCCTGATTCTTGCTGTAGTTTTTTTTCCTGTTAGTCACCTGTTTCCAGCAGTGCAAAGATTCATGTGGGTGGGGAGCTGAAGTTCACCTGGCTTTTCTTGCATACAAAGGGGACACACACTGAAAGTCAGCTTGGAGCAGTGGCTCCAATAGCCCGCTCAGGGCCCAGGCATCATCCTCCTGCCTTTAGCTGCTGCTCTGCTACACTTACAATTAGTAATGTTCGTATCCAAATCACCAAAATAACCAAGTTATCACTGATAGAAATCTCAAATTGTGTACTCTTTCTCTCTTCTACTTCTGTGGCAGGAACATTGCACAACACATCATTTTTGCTTCTAAAGTCCTCATTAGAAGAAAATGTAAAGCTTATACATGTTTAAACCACGAAATATATACATATTTTTCTGTATATCATTTAAAATCAGGAAAATATAAAAATCAAGTTTCTCCTTTATCTTCAATATATGGAAGAAATGTTTGAAGGTTATTTAAAGGATATTTACAAGCATAACTTATATAAATTTTTAAAAAGTTATTTATCATATGAAAAGGCAGATATGCAATGAAAAATGATGTTACTCAGACTTATAATACATTCCTTGATAACTCTAAGTTAGGAACAAAAAATGGTATTTCACTGCAATGAAACACAAATAGTTTCTCTTATTAACTTTTGTCTTAGTATCTGTCTCTAAGGCACATAAACATTAAATTTAAATTTTATTTTAATTCTGACTGTGTTACTATGAAGTTTTATTTTATAAAGTTATACTGTCCTTTTACAAAGTTTTCATGACTTGTATTTCATAGCCTCTCTCAGGAACTAAAACCCAGTTTTATTCTGTCTTCTGTACAGTCTAACTCTCTCTTCCTATTCTGTACTTTTGATTATTTAAATTTTGAATATTTGTACAAACAGTATTATCTTCTTTTTAGCAGTCTTCTGAACTCTGTAATGTAGGAATTTAATGAATGCTTTTGTAAAAATTTAAGTGCTTTTTCACTATGTCAGCAATTTAACTAATTTGTTCCTCTATGGCTGTTAAAAGTATCATATTGCAATAAAGGTGCAATAGATAAAAATATTAAAAATAATAAACCAGCACACATATGTTACATAACACATATATACATAAGATATATAACACCTATATACATAACATTGTAAACACATGTAGTGCAATTGAAAACCATGTGCTACAGACCACGCTCAAAGGAAAAGAGTCTGCAGGAACAAGGTTTGATTCCAAATCCCTCTTCCACCTTGAAAGTTATTCAGTTTTTCCTAAGCTTTAATTTTTCCCCCTTTTAATGAGATTGAAACTCAGGAAAGAACTTTGCCTCTAATCCCATGACTACTTGCATTTTTATTACAACTTTTCAGTTAGGACTCTACTTCAAGGCTTTCTGGAGAAAGAGACACATTGTATTGCTTGGATAAAAGTATTGTACTATGGTGGCTTCTACAAAGAAGTTCTCTAGTCTGGAGGGAAATTATTTTTCCTTTCAGAGTCCAAGAACTTTTGTATGCATCAAACTGTAGCTACCTCAAAAAATTGTCACTTCACCTATGCATTACCTTCATGGGTTATTTTTATGTTGTCTTGAAAAGAGGCTGGATGAGTCAGTGGATGTCCCCACCAGACACTGATTCTGCTACTTTTCAAGGGAAAATTAGCAAGAGCAGTTGTACCTTGTATTGACTAACCATTATTAGATGGCAAAAACAACGTGTGCATGCCTTCACCTCTAAATGCTAATGATTTGAGGAAGAACTAAAAAGGAAAATTAGGAATTAAAAAGAAAGCTAAAGCTGAGTGTCACCAGCGCATACAGGAAAAAAGCATAATGCTCTATGTGACTCAACAGTTGACCTGTTTTTAAGTATACCAAACCTGTTGGCTGTGCAGGTAGGCACTGCAATTCTCTGTCTCCAGGCCTCATACGTAACTCTACATCAGTCTTCAAGACAACTGGTAGAGCCTGGAGACAAGGCTCAAAAACAGCCCAGGCTCACACCAGCTGTCAAACATATTTTGAAACATAAACTTTTCTAACATAGGAATTCCTTCCCTGATTTTTTTTCTATTAATTTGCCAACAGAAAAGTAAAAAAAAATCAAATTCAAAAATAATTTTCAAAAGTTTGCTTTCAATTGCTAAATAATTCTATCTCTTCAAGCTATACTTTGCATTGAGGACTGTTCTCCCAGGAATATCAGACAGCTCCCAAGCACTGAGGAAGATGACCTGCTCCTCACCTTGATGTCATCTTCTTCTTCACAGTCTACAGTGATGTGACTGTCCTTTTCTGACATCATTGCTCTGTCCCAGTGAGCTGGATCAGGAACCAGGCTGAAGAGTCAATCACCAAATAAATTTATTAAACATTAAAAAATGTTTATATATAATAGCATATTTAAAATAAATATCCAAAAATTAACAGAACCATTCTATGCTGTCTTGAAATTTCAACTTGATATATGCATTTGTGTATATTTCATACACAAATGTATGTATTTATTATTATCTATGTTTGTATATGTATCTGTACCTATATCTATATATACACACATATCCTGTCACAGGTTATTTTTTTTTTCAATTGCAACACATGTGTTATAGAACTGCTTTCAATGTTTTTAACTCAGATACTCCAAATGGGTAAGCATGTAGAAAAAAAAATGAACAGCCTAGTGCTGGGCAAAGGCAGTTGTTCCTTTTTAAGTTAGTGTAGTGCTGTGACCATGCCAAAAAATTATAGAAAAGTAACACAAGCTACAGGGGGAATAAAGGAGAGATCCAAGTTTCAGCAACTTCCTCCCTTAGAGTGCTGCCCTAGAGTGCTAAACCTAGCATAGTTTTGTCTTGACTCTTAATTGCAAGACTGTAAGTTTGGTGAGGGAAGACTTTTAATGATGAGAAAGAAATAATGCTTACTGTTTTGAGAGATACCATGAGTTCTAAAGATTCTATTTAGGAAAGATAGCAAGAAAAAAGAGAAGCATAAAAGTGCTACATCTGATTTTAGCAGAGTTTTTCTTCCTGTTCCATACAGCAGAAAAATTTCTATGATGGCTGTATTTCCATGTCTGCATGCTTTAGGTGTAGCAAATTATCCATGAAACTGCTGATTTACTATGAATTAAGAGAAAAGCAGATTTATGACAGTGCAGCTGTTAATATATTTCCCTTTTATTGTGATTAGCCAAGACAAATAATGTTTCAAAAAGAGAGGAAATTATCTATCTCTAGAAAATGAGAGATGTCCTTAATAGAAAGATAACCCACCTTTTGAAGTTTATACCCAAGAATATAATGTCCTTCATATGAATTTTTCCCTACACTCATTAAAAAAAAAAAAAAAAAAATTCTGTGCTGCAAAAAATCATGTTATCTATATTGAAGTCACAGAGGCTATCCAGCCATTTTATCAGGATATTGGGATGCTAAAGGAAGTCAATTAATGAAGTGTTGCATTTTCTTTCTTCTTTTTTATTTTTTCTTGTCTTGCCTTTCCTTATTAGAAAAACCGGAAATAATAAACATACACGCACACACACACACACACACACACACACATACACACACACACTTCCCCCAATGTAAGTTATTGATATGTCTTTTGCTGATTTGTAATCTCACTGTGTACTGCAACTTTAAGAGAACCTAATCATTTTACCTGTGGCCACCAATTTTTTTTGATTTTTAGGGGAGGCATGGACATGCACAAACACATCTACACTCATACAAAATGGTCAATATTAAAAGATATCCATTGACAAAATGTTCAGTGTTAACCAGGAAAATGTAAATTCTGAGTATCAGGGAAAATCATCCTTAGTCTTGATTTGGTTTTGGTGACCCATATATTTCAAAACATACCAGTAATAAATTTTTAAGCAGCATCATTTTTCCCCCACTTTTCTTTAAGTCATCTAAAGATGACTTAAGCATTGTGCTGTTGCCTAGCATAAATCTCTTCCTGCTTCTTCCCCTGATTTCCAGCAATGAGTAATTGCTGATCACAGCTGATTGGCAGCCAGGACAGAAGGGTCTCTTTCAGAGACCACATGAAGATACACTTCAATATGAAAGTTCAGCAATCATACTGAGCTTTCTTACTATCAGCCGTCTTCAAATAAAAATTAGAAGGTACTTGGCCTGCTTCTTTCATTGCTCTTGCCTTCCACTTGAGACTGCAGATTGTGACCTCACTGGTGTGGAGGTTTTTGGACGACAACTACTCATCAGCCCTCAGCCCAATTCGAGAGACAGTCCTTTCTCTTCATTCACAGTAACAGGCTTAAGAAATTATCTGAGCAGCTCTCGCCTTCTTTACCTGTAAAGGGTGGACTGGCTCATATTACATCATTTGCAACAAGATGCAGCTCTTCCTCTGTAAATCAACTGAAAAGGGAGCTTCACTGTCAAGGAAATACCCAGTCTTGAATCTGACTTTTGGCTGTTTTTATTTTTATATTTATCTGTTTTGGGGGAGGTTGTGTTGTTTTGGTTGGGCTTTTTTTTTTTTTTTTTTTTTTGAACAGTGGAAGAACACTAAAGCAGTACTTTGAAAAATGTTACAAGGTATAAATAGCACTGCTGAGAGCAGAACACAGGCTTTGTTGTGTTATCACACAGCAGATCCAACAATATACTACAGATCCATATTGTCAACTGAAATGGAAAAGGAAAACAGTTCAACAAGAATGCTTCTTAGGAAAACTACCCAATTTACTCGTGTGTGTCTCAAGGCCAAAGCATCTTATCTTTGCACAAATCATTCTTCTGTAGTGAGTAACAGCAATACTTCAAGTGGTTTTCTGTTGTGTGTCATAACAGGCTTTCTATTGATGTTGCTAAAAAAAAAGCCTGTACCATGATTTTAAACTAGAAAGTGGTACACAGTTTTATTCTAGAAGAAAAAAAGTTGTATAGCAGATATTTTAGCAGTATTAAGCTCACAGAACCTGAACAAATATATGCTTTCCATATTAGCAATAAGTTTTTATTCTTTCATTTTAAACTGTAAGGTGGAACCTTTTACTGCACTCTTTGTTAGTTTGGGGGATTTTTTTGACTTTTGAGTTTAATTTTATCAGTTTGATAAAATGATAAATTTTCGTACATCAATGGAAGAAAAGTATTCAGCCAATAGTGATCACTTTTTATTGTGCAATCATTACTCAGTTACTCTAGTCAATGCACAGATATTGGCTCAAGTATACAAGACCAATTAAAATAGGAACACTGGCAAGAAAACATAATAGTACTTCCTTCAATTTATTAGTTACGGTAAATGGCTTATAACAAACCAAAAAGCCAGTAACATTCTCAGATAGATCCATTGCTTCTGTACTGTGGATAATTAAGTCTTTTGGTGGGAATTTGTTCGTAGGACTGATATACAATTAGACAAATTTGTTCACATATCATGTTTCATTGAAGTCTGTATGAGTCTTCTATGCTTGGCAATGGGTCCTGATCCTAGATGCTTTTATGCCTGATTAATTGTCAATATTAGGCAGGAGTTTGCTCATTAGCTCCTAGCAGGGCACAGCTCAAATTGCAGTAAGCTCCATTTAGAGATGATATGCTAACTGTTAATAAACTGCATGGATTGCATGTGTCTGTGAATCTCAGCTGACTATATGTGTATACATATACACATACTCATATATTATGCATGAATACACACACACAAACATGTGCATACATATATGTGTGTGTGTGTGTATATATATCTATCTATTCAAGTTAGCTCCATGGAGGAAAGGAATAAATACAAATTACTCCCCTGTATACAAGTTGTGGCTGCAAGTGCTGCTAACTTATTCAGGACTCCCTAGTGAATAAAAACATCCCAACATAAATTTACTGTGTATTATTCATGCTACATTTTAAGTTTTCAATCTGTCATGTCAACTGCTTTAAATCATATCTAAACCAATGTGCTAAACAGACATCACTTTTAAACAAAAGGAAGTAAATTAAAGAACATCTTTCTGTACAACAGACATTTGTTTTATACATTCATTTTTCTGAGGACTTCATTTCTCGCTCAAGAGAGATAGAAGGTTGACAGAGAACTAACTGATAATGCAAACTATTTTTTTCCAGATCAATTTTACCTCCTAACTAGTAATACTGCTGTACTCAACAATTCAGCCTCAATGATAAAATCTAACTGTTCCCAGATCATAAGCACTTATCATGTCTAAAGTAAATATTATTTACATATTATTAATTACATTTAATAACATAATTGTTTCTGCTCCTAAGTTTTAAAACCCTCCCATCAGCCAAAGATGAAGTTTTTATGACAGTATTAGTAAAGGTCCTTGTCCATGAGGCTCATAGGAACCAACAGGAAGTTACAAAAATGAATCAGCAAATTTCCCATCGTAAAAGGTAAAAGATTATGTATGTTGGGCATGAGCACTAAAGAAAAAGTAAAAAAAAAACCAAACAAACAAACAAACAAAGAAAAACACCACCAAAACAAACATGGCCTATTTCAGCCTCGGGTGTGAAGGAACAAAGGTGTGGAAGTAGTAGAAAGGGCTAGTATTTAGGTATAAAACCATGAACAAAAGCAGTGATCTAGCTGGTTTTATTCTTCAATGAAACAATGCTGCCTCCACATTCTCTGGTGCTGTAACTGCATTTCAGAGATGACAATGAGATACTTTCATCAGGAGATCTTCTGTCTTCACAGTACCAACTGAAAGTTGTTACTCACAGTGCTCAAAACGAGAAAGGGGTGTTTGTGTGTTTTTTCATGCAATCTCACTAAGAACAGAAGATTACCGAGTTGAATGAATACAACACATAAACCTTGGGTTAAAAAAGACTACAGAAATATGAATATACATAGCTATGCAGATCTCTCTTGGAAAGTACATGAAGAGACAGAATAAAATTGTGAAAAAATGGCCTTTCAGAATATTCAGCACAGACCAAATTTTGCTTTGATTAGTTTTTACAGTATTTGTCAGATATAGTATTCCAGTATCAACAATAAAGGGTATTGACTCACATTTCAGTAACTTCAGTTTATAAACCCGAAACTATCTTGATGATGGCATCAGGAGTTGAACATTTAAAGGTCTATAAACAGTTCTCACATGTTAACAAAAGTTCAAACATGTTCTGAATATGGTTCTGTCAAACAGGGGCCACTAATATGTTACTCAGACATCTCCTAAAGCAAGCAACTGCAGCAGATCGGACTCCCAGGCAGAGCTCACCAAACTTGAGAATAAGTAAGGTGCTGTGGTTTATCTGTCACTGAAGCAGTTAAAATGTCATTTTTGGAGACTATTAGGTTTGAGGTAATACTAGAACCAATT